GGACGGGAACCAGGAACAGAGAGAAAGTAAAATTGGAACAATCCGAACTGAAATTGTCGTTCAGTGGTCACATTATTTTCATTTGATCTCAGTTGTTGCGAAAACGAAGACCCAACAAACTGAACAAAACCTTTGTATGCTATTTTATTATGAATGAAAATCGTAATCGTTTAACGTATAATGAATAGAAATACTTTATATTTTTCTGTACAAATCGATTGGTCATATTAATCAATTAAGCAACTGAAAAACCGATTAACCGTTTTTTTCTGAAGATGCAGTCCTGAAATTAAGTACGACGGATGTCCCAACTCAGCAGTGTGGGAGTCATAATTAAAACACACCCAGACGAGTGTTTCTCTTCGTGAAACTACAAACATATCACTTTGAAGTCACTTTGAGAAACTATTGGTCGGTCCGTTATGACATCATATTTGATCCTGTTAATGAGACATGTCACACCATTGCTCCACAGGTCGTTGATTACACCTGAGAATTTGATCAGCTTTCGGTGAAAATGTCACCTGAAATGATGATTTACGAGTAGGGAGGAATGCCCCCGATGTCAAAAATCGACCACGCCTAACTGTATCACAAACCGCATTTCTAGTTGATGAACACAAAATACCGAGTACCGTTGGAAAGATGGATAGGTTTTCTTTTCAAAAACGCCCATGGGCATGTAAAGGTATTATCCTTCCGCAGACAGGATCTCCGTTTCCTCCAAAAGCACGCCAACTTTCAAAGTTTTCGCAGTCATAGAGCCACTTTTTCCATATGCATGAGGTTGACGTCAGCCACGTGCCAACAATTGTGTTGGTATTGCCTGGTGTGGTTGGGAAAGCGCAGCCATTTTCCGCTTTGAATAACCAGCCATCAACGCCCATGTTCTTCTCGTGGTTGACGTCAAAATCATGAAACTAAAAAATGACGTGTGGTTTTAGAGGATACGGAGAACATGTCTTTGTGGTTTTAGAGGATACGGAGAACATGTCTGTGTGGTTTTAGAGGATACGAAGAACATGTCTGTGTGGTTTTAGAGGATACGAAGAACATGACGTGTGGTTTTAGAGGATACGGAGAACACGACGTGTGGTTTTAGAGGATACGGAGAACATGACGTGTGGTTTTAGAAGATACGAAGATCATGACGTGTGGTTTTAGAGAATACGAAGAACATGACGTGTGGTTTTAGAGGATACGAAGAACACGACGTGTGCTTTTAGAGGATACGGAGAACATGTCTGTGTGGTTTTAGAGGATACGAAGAACATGACGTGTGGTTTTAGAGGAAACGAAGAACATGACGTGTGGTTTTAGAGGATACGAAGAACATGACGTGTGGTTTTAGAGGATACGGAGAACATGACGTGTGGTTTTAGAGGATACGAAGAACATGACGTGTGGTTTTAGAGGATACGAAGAACATGTTTGTGTGGTTTTAGAGGATACGGAGAACATGACGTGTGGTTTTAGAGGATACGAAGAACACGACGTGTGGTTTTAGAGGACACGAAGAACATGTCTGTGTGGTTTTAGAGGATACGAAGAACATGATGTGTGGTTTTAGAGGATAAGGAGAACATGACGTGTGGTTTAAGAGGATACAAAGAACATGACGTGTGGTTAAAGAGGATACGAAGAACATGACGTGTTGTTTTAGAGGATACGTAAAACATGTTTGTGTGGTTTTAGAGGATAAGGAGAACATGACGTGTGGTTTTAGAGGACACGAAGAACATGGCTGTGTGGTTTTAGAGGATACTAAGAACACGACGTGTGGTTTTAGAGGAAACGAAGAACATGACGTGTGGTTTTAGAGGATACGAAAAACATGTCTTTGTGGTTTTAGAGGATACGAAGAACATGATGTGTGGTTTTAGAGGATACGAAGAACATGACGTGTGGTTTAAGAGGATACGAAGAACATGTCTGTGTGGTTTTAGAGGATACGGAGAACATGACGTGTGGTTTTAGAGGATACGAAGAACATGACGTGTGGTTTTAGAGGATACGAAGAACACGTCTTTGTGGTTTTAGAGGATACGAAGAACATGTCTGTGTGGTTTTAGAGGATACGGAGAACATGTCTGTGTGGTTTTAGAGGATACGAATAACATGTCTGTGTGGTTTTAGAGGATACGAAGAACATGTCTGTGTGGTTTTAGAGGATAAGGAGAACATGACGTGTGGTTTTAGAGGATACGAAGAACATGTCTGTGTGGTTTTAGAGGATACGGAGAACATGTCTGTGTGGTTTTAGAGGATACGAATAACATGTCTGTGTGGTTTTAGAGGATACGAAGAACATGTCTGCGAATGGAGAATACATTTTACGTGCATAAACTTATCCATCTTTCCAACGGTACTAGAAATAATGAAGTAAGTTACGGTCGATTTTTTGGCATCGATAGCTTTCCTCCCTTCCCGTATATATCATCATTAATTTGGGATGGCATTTTAACCGAAAGTTTATCTTAACCCTAAAGCGTGTTAAATTACCCTGAACACGCCAGTTAAGGTCCAAAATAGCTGAGATCTGGGATGTTATCTTACCGCTATAACGTTTCAATGAGATGTAGTTTGAAGTGACTTTTGTGTGATCCATCGACCAATAGTAAACATCTTCCTGTGATGTTAGCTGTTGTGTGACCTATCGACCAGTAGGAAACATCTTCCTGTGATCTTAGCTGTTGTGTGACCTATCGACCAATATGAAACATCTTCCTGTGTTCTTAGCTGTTGTGTGACCTATCGACCAATAGGAAACATGTTCCAGTGATCTCAGCTGTTGTGTGAACTATCGACCAATAGGAAACATCTTCCAGTAATCTAAGCTGTTGTGTGACCTATCGACCAATATGAAACATCTTCCTGTGATCTTAGCTTTTGTGTGAACTATCCACCAATATGAAACATCTGCCTGTGATATCAGCTGTTGTGTTAACTATCCACCAATAGGAAACATCTTCCTGTGATCTCAGCTGTTGTGTGACCTATCGACCAATAGGAAACATGTTCCAGTGATCTCAGCTGTTGTGTGAACTATCGACCAATAGGAAACATCTTCCAGTAATCTAAGCTGTTGTGTGCCCTATCGACCAATATGAAACATCTTCCTGTGATCTTAGCTGTTGTGTGACCTATCGACCAATAGGAAACATCTTCCTGTGATCTCACCTGTTGTGTGACCTATCGACCAATAGGAAACATGTTCCAGTGATCTCAGCTGTTGTGTGAACTATCGACCAATAGGAAACATCTTCCAGTAATCTAAGCTGTTGTGTGACCTATCGACCAATAGGAAACATCTTCCTGTGATCTCACCTGTTGTGTGACCTATCGACCAATAGGAAACATCTTCCTGTGATCTTAGCTGTTGTGTGACCTATCGACCAATATGAAACATCTTCCTGTGATCTTAGCTTTTGTGTGAACTATCCACCAATATGAAACATCTGCCTGTGATATCAGCTGTTGTGTTAACTATCCACCAATAGGAAACATCTTCCTGTGATCTTAGCTGTTGTGTGAACTATCCACCAATATGAAACATCTTCCTGTGATATCAGCTGTTGTGTTAACTATCCACCAATAGGAAACATCTTCCTGTGATCTCAGCTGTTGTGGGACCTATCGACCAATAGGAAACATCTTCCTGTGATGTTAGCTGTTGTGGGAACTATCGACCAATACGAAACATCTTCCTGTGATCTTAGCTGTTGTTGGAACTATCGACCAATAGGAAACATCTTCCTGTGATCTTTGCTGTTGTGTGAACTATCCACCAATATGAAACATCTGCCTGTGATATCAGCTGTTGTGTTAACGATCCACCAATAGGAAACATCTTCCTGTGATATCAGCGGTTGTGTAACCTATCGACCAATATGAAACATCTTCCTGTGATCTTAGCTGTTGTGTGACCTATCGACCAATATGAAACATCTTCCTGTGATATCAGCGGTTGTGTAACCTATCGACCAATAGGAAACATCTTCGAGTGATCTCAGCTGTTGTGTAACCTATCGACCAATATGAAACATCTTCCTGTGATATCAGCTGTTGTGTAACCTATCGACCAATAGGAAACATCTTCCTGTGATCTTAGCTGTTGTGGGAACTATCGACCAATAGGAAACATCTTCCTGTGATCTTAGCTGTTGCGAGGATATAAAGACAGTCGACAACCTTACACACATTACGGATAAAAACGTGAAATGGAAATAAATACCGAAAATAACGACACTTATCGACTTAAATAGTGAAAAACATGATCATAGCATTAAAAGAAATCGTAATAATAACGATTAAATAGTAACTGCTGTGCTGATTGTTTATCGTGACACGATCTTTTCCTCTTCGCTGTTGAATTGGGACATCTTTAAAGACTACATTTTACGTTGTCTTCATAATTAATAAACGGAGTATGTGCCCGTCAATTGAGAAAATTACTGAAACAGTTTATAGTAACAATGCTTAAAGGCAGTATACAGTACTGAAGCCGATATATGATATTCAAGATTCCTGACATAAACAGGAAACGATATCATGTATTTTACTACAGCAAGATAAGTTCTCATGAACTCAAGAAACATACTGGCATTGGCCGTCAAAATATAGAGTGAATTCCGTTTGGTTGTAATTTTAAATCTATGACCTTCAAAGAATAGATTCAAACTTCACAGTAAGGCCACCACATTTATGTCCAAGTCTTGGAGACAGAGTTTAAAACGTATCTAATGAGAAGTTACTATGCTTCAGGAGTCAGGACACGGTAAACATTTCCAGAAGGGAGATGACTCCTCCTAAGAACTTTGAAGGCACCCGTCCTTTCCCGACGACGAAGTATTATAGGGAAAGCGTTAACCTGGTTTGTTATGTAAGTACCAACAGGTCATACAGGTACAATTGCAAGCTATAGTTCGATGGCCTAACTAAAGCACTATCTCGATAAAGATAAGCCAATCCTTGCTTAACATTTGTATATGGGTCAGACGTCCAATGTACAGGTAGCCACGTAAACTGTACGATGCATGTTATTTACATACTTGTACTCGTAATAACGACAGTCGGCGGCGTCAGTGCGTACTCCAGTGATGATACTCAATACATACTACGGGAAATCCGTCACATGCGCCGGGAGCACTCCGATCGGATAAGGACATGTGAACAAAAAGTCGGTATGTTCGTTCCTGCTACAGACGTCCCCTGTCTATAAAATGACCTAATAAGTGATATTTTGTAGGTTTTGATATAACGTTGATATATATTTATACTCTCTATAGTGTTTACAGTCTATAAAACTGTTGACCGTGTAATGTTTGGTCGTAAGCATTTATTACGAGGTGTTGAATCTGTCAATGTCAATATTTAAATAGATCCGTTAACTTAGCATGTCCACAAATTATTTTGTTTTTAGAATTGACTAACGTGAATATACTTTATCAATGACTTGTCAAATTCTCTTCCTTTATCTGCCGAATGACCGTTTCCATATTGATTCCCGGTATTGTTAAAGTGCCACTCTCAACCAATATACCCGAATAACGTCTATACTTGGATAAAGCCTGTTAATTCGCATGCACGTGTTGTCTCACATGTTGGTACACAGAATATACAATGTTCTAATATGAACTTCATTTTTATTGATTTTCATAATGATTGATCTTTTCAACGTGACTTCCTGTTTAAAGGTCATGTAAGTGTTGTTCCCCTTTCTCTGGAGCCGTCTTTACAACATCGTCAAATATTACAATGATATTGTTGAATTGTACGTAAATATTTACATTGGTACCGTATTTAAATAATAAACAATATAATGAACCAAACGCACAAATTTATATATGATAAAGTAATAAAACGGTCAATATCTACGCTTTACTCATAAAGAGATATGGCGGGTCGCTATGCCTATTTCCCCAAAGCTATGTTAGGCTAGTGCGCGCATCCAACCGTGCACTGTTATGACGCGTCCTCATGTATTTTTTTTTATAGAGGTAGCAATATCGGAATCCCGTGTCTAAGAATAGATTATTGTAAACAGACCACATATTTGGTATTTCGGCATTATTTGTTGGTGTTTAAGCACTTTATATAATTACTATTGCCAGTTGGAGGGTAAAACAATTGATATATTTCATCAAAAATAGTGTCTTACCTACAAAGCGTAGCTTTACTGTACACGTATACAGGAATGTGTTGACATGCTTCGATAGAAGTATATCGCACTTGATAGTAAAGAAATTATTACTAACAAAACTGATAAATCGATAGGTATGTTATTAAAATGTAAACAACATCTTCCATCGATTTAATTAAAATCACCATTGCCTTATTAAGGAAAATGATCACATGCCTAAATATTTTAAAAAAAAATAACTGAAGGAGGATTCGAACCTGCACCGTTTATTTTCTAGTCGCAAGTAAACTGCAACTGCATTACACATTCGGCTACATAGACTATATAGATACTGGCAATTTCAAACTCATTTAACCCGAGAAACACCGGTCGCAGTTTAGAGAAACTTGATCACCCCTGTTTTTCATTATTTTGAGCACTTTCCCAAAGGAAGACCACTTTTCCGTAATACGATTTGTTTTTGCATATTACATCATGGTCACAGAAAGTTTATTCAAAAGTTGGTCCTCGGATGGGAAAGTGTTGAAAGTATTATTTTAACTCCGGGAAACCCCATCACTTTCATAGATATAGTGTATATGGCTATATTTGCAGTATCATATTAGCAATACCTAATTTCTTAGCAGTTTAAAAATGTATATTCAATTGGTTTTGTATCTTTTGTATCCATTTTTGCTACCCGAAATGTTTTACTCCTTAATTTTTTCCCCGTTTTCATAAATGCCGACTTAGGGAAATACGGGCAGTTTTTCGCCATACCTCTTTCTGTAATTGACTCGGTTTTCTTTATGCAATGGAGACCAATAGTACTTTAATATCTTGTCACAATTATGCTCGCGATAAATCAGTATAAATCATGAAATAATTATTGATATGATTTGTTTAGGTTCTTAAAAAGACGGTGTTTACAGATGACGGTGCTACTTTAGAAAGCCATCTCACATAACATTTCCAAACCTGAACGCGACAGGGCAAATTATTTTACTAATAGTACCTACAGAAATGTCAAATATGATGTGGAGTGGGTTAAAGAGAGGGGTTCAAAAAGGGGTCCGACGCGTTACGAATTGGGTCAGAGTTTTGTTTCGCAGAAATTAACGCCCTAACACATCAAAAACAGTATCTAAGCGCTCTACAACGATAAGAGTCAGATAATAAAGCTATTAAATACAACTGATTACACGGATTACCGGTGCTATGTAGACATCGTTTTTAGAATACCAGATAAGAAGGGGGGCAACTCTTGCACGAGTAATCGGATAAGACATACAGGGTTCCACGATAGTTTTAAAGGACCGTCAACACAATGATGTCAAACAGGAGAACACTATGGTCCAACATAGGACCAGACGTATGTCTCTACAACCCATCACTACGACAAAACCAAACAGGGTAGTTAAATAGTAAGCGGGAGATGTGGTAGAAAAGAATCCCAGTTCTGGTTAAGCTCACATGTACCTCGCACTCTGCCGATATATGATAGGAAATGTTTAAAATCAATATTTGGACCATGTTCTATTGTTTGGTGACTCTAAAATAAATATGATTCTTTATTATATATTGTAGATACAATCCTAGCGGAAAACCGTAAACTCATACAGCGAATGGTTATTCTTGAAAATGAAAACAAGATCATGGTTAGAAGACTTTCTGCGCTTGAAAAAAAAATGCTTGATAAAAACAACTCGGTAAACGCTCTAGAAATTGCAACAGAAAGAAAGTCTAGTGTAAACATTCTCAAACCTTCATCATTACCATCGCCAATATCGACGACTGACAAGGACACACGAGCAAAGACCAATGATAACAGACGAATCACCGATGATTTCATCGATGTTCCTCTCAAAACGACAAGAAGGAAACACACTGTTGAAACGGATACAAGCCAGTCAGGTATGAGGATAATTTTCACAAATTATATACAGTTTGTATATTCAATTATTATACCGAAGAAAGCATTAAAATAACATTTTTAACGCTCCTTTATTTCTTTGTCTAATTTGAAGGTATCCGTGAAAAGATGATGACCAAGGAAAAACGAGTCGGTAAGTCATGGGTTAAGTGGCCTGCTTAAACAATTGAAGTTGATGTCTTAATATGTCTGTTTCTACTTTTTTTTCTACAATGTTTTATTCCTTTGCTTCCTTGACACATCTATAGTATCCTTACTTTTCAAAGACCACTAAAATCAACTGTGTTGGTTGGCAATTAAGTCTAGCGTGTGACCTTGTATGACGTTGTTTTGTCGCAGGGATTTTGGGTCTAATGTGTGACTCAGTACGTTTACACTGACATCTGACCTTTATGACCTTTATGACCTTTATGACCTTTTCATATCGAGGGGCCGTTATAACTATTATGAGACATTGTACGAAATTATTGTGCCATTAATCCGTAATAATCAATCAAATCATAAACAGCAAACTAATATTCTAATATTATTTACGCTATTAATTTTCATATAATTTAGAGCTGAGTAGCGAGTATTATTGGAATAATTATCTGACCATAATTTAATACATATACGTGGCGTGAAGCGAGAATAAATGTTTCCATGAGTAATTGATGATATATAAGCAGTCTACATTATAAAATTCAGTAGACTCAAAGCCTAAATATCATTTTAAATAGAATCTTTTCCATCTTTAAAAACGGAAAAGTTAAATAATAAAGAATAAAATTATTCTTACGAATATTCTGTTATAGGTCCCATGGAAAATGCAGTGGGGTTTTACGCAGCCTTAGCCCCAGATATGTCCTTGGGGGACCAACAGGACCTGAAGTTTGATCATGTTTATACAAACATTGGCCAGGGCTACGAACCAAGGGACGGTCACTTCAACGCTCCTGTTGCTGGTTTATACCTGTTATCTGCGACAATCCTTAGTGCTGGAACCACAACCGATGACATGTTACTTGAATTTGTTAAAAATGGAGTAAACGTTGGCCAAGTATATGCAACAAGGAGTTTAAACGAAGGTTCTAGAGTTATCGTTCTTTCCCTTGACGTTGGAGATATGGTTTGGGTCCGTCACATGACCGGAGATCCTGGGACCGTCGCAAACGGATCCCATTACAGCTCCTTCTCCGGTGTTCTAATTTCAGCGTTTGAAAAATGTAGTACAAGTGTTCATTAGTTGGTGAATAGCCTGTGTCCTCGGTCGATATCACTCTATCCGGTCCATATAACAACGAATCGACCTCGACAATAGTCCATAATTGATAAAAATGGGTATTTAACCCTACTGCACACCAGTTATTACTGGTTATTATTGGTTGAAGAGTATTTATTCAATCAGAAATACTAGTATGGTTAATACAGTTTTGTTTCTGTGACTCCAGTTGCAAGACTATAACGAAGGTCTTTATGAGAAGTTCTTTTTACATATACAATAAGATTTTATATGTGACGTTTCGATGAATAGTATGATATGTACACTGTCACCTTCATCAGACAAATGACCAGTGAAGCGTATGCACACATAGGTGTAAAATGTGTACGAGTTGTCCACTCAAATCAATGTCGATTCGGCTACGCTGTAAGCGTATGTACAATAGTACATATAATAGTAAGTATCCATCCTTTAACTTATCAACCTGAAGTAAATGTTTAGAAATATAACGAAGGTTCTTAACAAGTAACAGTACCATATGCGTTTTTCTATAGTTTAGACTAATAGATTACTTTGTTGTATATAAGCACACTTGTGTGTGAAAAAGTCTTTGTTAGCATGATCGGAGGGTGTTATTCGTTTTGTAACATGTCTGTATCTGATAACATTTAAGGAAAGAAATTCATTTTTTCAACATTCGTGAGGTCATAACAACATTGGCTTTCTGGACATATTCCATGAACTGTGTTAGCTATTCTTTGTAAATATGTCCAGAAGCCAATGTTGTTATGTCCTCATGAATGTTGAAAAAATATTTTCGTTCCTTATATTTACACTTTTAATGCTTTGTATTTTCGGATGCAAGCATGTTTTTTTCTTTCTGTTTATACATGGAAGCAACGCAGTAGAGAGAGAGCAGCGTGTTTTCGCGGGAAAATGTGAAACATTCAATAGGGGTCCTAGCAACAACAAAACAACAAAAGAAACAAAATATAGTTCCATTTTCAAGAATTGATTTGTAGAATTTCAACAAGTCGTAAAATATTATCATAGTCTTTACCTTACTTTAGCTTTAAAATCAAGCCAATAATGTTTAATGTAAATTCATATTAGCATAACAAAACTACATCTATAGCTGTTTCACGGCGGACTTGAAACAAGTACGCCCTGTGTCATTGTAGTGGAGCTATACGCGGTGATGACGTCACCTGTGTTATGCAAAAATGAATGTCATTTTCGTTAATGGGTTCAAGCATACAGAAGGTAAATATCGCTTATTAATTTTAATTGTTTCAAGCGTGATAATATTTTTTATGGCAAAATTTCTTTTTTTTAAATGGAGGGGGATCCTTCATCTGGTGGAAAATAGAAAAGCATTTCTTTGTCAAGGTGGTTATTCCGTTAAACAAATGTAAATATCAACAGCATATTTACAAAACAAGTATTGAAACAACGTTTTTATTTTTTGTTTCGGTAGCTAATTATATAAGGTTTAAGTATAAACAGTATTTTTCTAGTACACGCCCATAAAGACGTACGATCTGCCATTGAAAGAAGGACAGGGGTTGCCATTGGAATAACCGCATCAAACTGATTTTAGAATTCAATGCGTAAAGCATGTAAAACCAAATAACTTGCCGATATTATTATGACTTTAATTCTGGTAAGAATATGGTTCATATTATTTGGAAATAGTAGATTTTTTTTGTCTAAGAAGCAATGTTTTTATATCAAATACAGTAATTACATTCTTGTCAGAAGTAATCATTTCATGAAGGAGGTGGCTGGCCATTATCACGTTATCAGTCAAAACCATCTGTTGTTGAGCACCCTGTCATTGAGAGTGTATATCATAGTCATAATGGGGATATGTTTGTTTTGAAAATGAAATCCTTACAATTTAGTGATTCATAATTAGTTCTTTAAACTATAAATGCAAGATATCTTTTAGTTAAATGACATATGCATGTTATTTATCGTGTAAAACAAGTCTTTACATAAGTCAGTTTTCAAAGGACATTTCCATCAGCCTTTTTCTAAATAAAAATCTTCAAATCATTATTCTGAGACGTTTGTTACATTTTTTATTCTTTGAATTGTATGCCATACTCATGTTAAAATTATTCACTGCTTTCCTTTTCCCTAATTATTTTTTGTCAGTCCTCTATGATAAGCTATCCAGACCTTATTAGATTACAAATACATATATGCTTATATTTCCGATCTATGCTTCTGCTTAAATGCATTTTTGATACGTTATAGAATTTTAAGATTGATCGAGTTTTGTTCGTGGAATTGTCAGTACCGGTTTATTTTGATTTCTGCAGATCTCTTTTGATGAATAACTTGTTAATAAAAAATGTCACAATGTCCGTTTTTGTGATACAAAGTAAAGGTATGTAAAACAACGAGTTGTTTGTAATTACTAATTGTTTGCCTGTTTTGTTGTGTCGAGAAGTATTACCGCCCATCAGAGAGAAACACAGATAGAGAGACATACACAGGTGTTCTTCTGTGCGCGCTTCTAACTAGGTACACAGAATGAAGAACTGGACTTTATCTGATTCTTCCGTTGCAGCTGTTCCGTGCTCACAATAGTATGAACTATACTGGTAGCACTATATTGACCATTCGATGTCAACCTCCAGGATCCTTTTGAAAATTCAATGACGTATCTGGTCAGAAGCATATGACGTAATAACCGATGCTCAATTTGAATTTCGAAACACAGTGGAGGTTATGTTTGCTCTTAATTCTTTTTTCACGAAATTTCTTAGTAAAAATAAACATCGATATTGTTGTTCCATTGATTTCCGAAGGCTTTGACTATGTTGATAGAATAAATTTATAGTATAAATTGTCAAAGCAATGGCTAAGAGGCAAACTACTAAATGTAATTAATACGATTTTTTTAAAAATATTATGGCGTTCCGTAAAGGTGGAAAAGTACTTACAATGTAACAACGAACCGTGGTACCTAAATGGTGAAGTTAGTACAATAGTCGAGAACTTCACATATCTAGGTGTGAAATTTAAGTTCAATAATAAATTTAGTTACATGCAAAAACAATTGTCGGAACATGAGCCCAAAGCCATGCTTGCCTTATTCTCAACATATTCAACATTGAATCTAAATGTGGAGACTTTGTTAAACCTATTTGACACTTCTGTGAACAGTATATTGTTTTATGCCAGTGAAGTATGGGAAAAAATGCATTCACCTTTTGTAAACAAATATTAAAAATATCTATTTTTTATCTACTAGTAATGCAATGATATATTTTGAATTTGGGCGTTATCCTCTAAAATACTCACGGAAATATAAAATTATAAAGCTCTGGTTTAAACTAATTGATTAAAAAAAATGCATTATAAAAAGTGCATTTTCATTCTTAAAAGCCAACAATACTGGTACATGCTTTAACAGGTAAACCAAGTCAAGCGGTTACTTTTCGAACTGAGTTTCGGCGGCATATAGTTGAGACAATCGACAATTAAATGTCAAAGAATATTCGACAATGCACTGTTAGACTTAAGTCGGCGTCTAAGGGCCTGTTATATATGCGTATTGAAATATATATGACAACACCAAACATCTGAAAATCTTCCAACTAGTAGATTTATGAGAATCTTAAGGTATCTTAAGGTATGCTGCCTGGATACATATATCGGGCACCTCATGGGATGCGCATTTTATTCCCTTTTATGATGACCTCCTTTGTCCTCTATTGTTTTGTGTAGTAGAAACATTGGGATCACTAACACTGAAGAAGATTATATACTCAAATAATTACTTTTGACATTTCTGACGCAACAGTGGCTCTAATAAATATCTGAATATTATGAATTATAGTTATCAAATAGTTTTGTCAAAAATATAATCCCGTCATATCAGAGATGGTAACAAATTGTAACGGTGCCTGTTAGGTATATCTAACGTTACATTCAGAACACATCACCTCTGGGACCGTATTCATGAAACCGCTCTCATGCTCAAGCATGGATTTTGTCCTCAAGCCTTATTTCTATTTATAACTTGATAATTCAATTTTAGTTTGTCGATGATTTTGAAGAGACTTAAAGTCGAATAATGTTTTCATTTGACGTTTTGATCGTTTGACATGATTTATAAGTGAGTTACAAGTTTTGGTTTGAGCACAAAATCCATGCTTGGGCATGAGAACGATTTCATTAATACGGGCCCAGGTGTTTGAGCTTTACGTCAAGGGATCTCTTCTCTAGAGAGCTCAGCGTATCGTTACGTCTAAGACATCTCAACTTTGCGTGATATAAAGGAAATTTACCTCTAGGGAACAAAGTTCATGGTCAATGACATTAAAACCAATGGAGACCACAGATTGATACTGATAACATTTAGAGATCTAAAGTGAAACATACTGAAATATACCATGTTAATGTGCATTTGTACATAAACTATTATTTTGTGTTATGTTTGTATGTGTATACGTACGTATATGTGTATACTTTGGATGTTTATATGTATTTGTGTTTGTTTTACCATGCAAAATGTATACGCATGGTTTTGTTTTTGAAAAAAATGATGTTTTACTAAAGGAGAGCTAAGTGATCGACAAATAAAAGATTCCCCTGCAAGCTAGGCGTAACGTCAAGGACGTTTTACCTCTTCAGCATAACGTCACAGGATATAAGTCTTACCGTAAAAGTCGTTACAGGTCATTTGTTATACAATACTTTTTTGTTTGTTTGTTTGATTTTGTTTAACGTCCTATTAACAGCTAAGGTCATTTAAGGACGGCATCCCCTGTGTGCAAGATGCATGCGTGTAGTGTATGTGTGTGTATTTTGGGAGGCTGCGATATGTTCGTGTTTGTCTTCTTGTAATAGCGCGGAACTGATGCCGACTTTATAGTGCTACCTCACTGATACATACTGCCGAAGACACCCAGCAGGACGCCCCACCCGGTCACATTATACTGACAACGGGCGAACCAGTCGTCCCACTCCTAATTTGCTGAGCGTTAAGCAGGAGTAGAAACTGCAATTTTTAAAGACTTTGGTATGTCTCGGCCAGGGGGCAGAACCCAAAGCCTTCCTCACAGGGGCGAACGCTCAACAAATGGCCAAAAGTGAGGCATTGTCAAGGGAGACATTAGGAAAAAGAAAGTTATTTAGTAAGGAGAGAAGAGATAAGGTCCCAAATTTAGTCGCCTCTTACGATCATGCAATTGGGGGCAGCAGGTACAATTCTTACGCCCTACCTGCAGGGCAGTTATACAATACATGGCAATTGATATCAGTATACTTTTAGCACAATGGCATTGTTTTGTTTATATCTCAATGATGGTAACGTCCATAGTATCATGATGAAAAATAGATATTCCATTTTTTAGACGGATGTCACTTTAATTCATGTTTTTGTCATATTATTAATCGGGATTGGCTTTTATCATATTTGAAAATAAAATGCTTTGCTTGTCGTGATATAGCAGTATAAAGTATAAAGTTTGTCCCGTAAAACACTTTCAATGGAATTTAACATCTCGCAAGTATCAATTTTAAACAACTTTATTATAAATTGTTGTATTTGTTACCAAAATGAACAATTCTACTTTCATATTGAATGCATGAATATGCATGCACGGATTTTTTTTTTTAAATTGACCTGACGATAGCGCTGGTGTTTATCTTTCTTTGTCATTCAGACAGTGCATTCCTCCAACCTCTCTGAGCAAAGAACAACAGGAGCAGATCATTGATTAGTCGACAGAATCAACAGTTCGCCAGTCTGACAATTATATCCATTGAGGGTTTCAAAAGGATTTGTTTTGTATGTTCTGTAACTATGTTGTCCGTTTGTAAAACTGAACTACGGCCCGGAAAATGTTGACTACATCGGGAAAAACAAAACAGCAACACAGAATAGTCATTATTGTGACTGCGGTTGTACCAATGTACTTTGACGTTGGCCGCGGATCATCAGCACATACCAAGGATCGTCTGTACGCTGTAAAATATCAACCAAAAAGGGTCTATCATGTTATACGATGTACAATAGAGAAGTTAATACTAGCACACCTAAAACTGGGACATATTCGTTTCATTTATGAAACAGAAACACTAGCCAATTGTGTACATCATGAAGATATCAATGAAAAATTCCCACTAAGCTAAATACATTTAGATAGACTGATTTTGTTTACAAGATATTTAAGTTGTAGAAAGGTAAGGTTATAAAAAACTGACAAGGCACCTGCCACAACTAAGGTAATACATAGTCCCTCTAAATCTAAGGTAAGGTGTACCACTGAGTTAAACCATATTCTTAACGTTGATTCTATATGGTACATCTATTTAAGAAATTGTTTCAGATGTGGCCAATTTGTAGTCAATTATGGGCGGATTGGTCGAGTAGTAAACACTGCGGCCTGCCACGCAAGCGGCCGGGGTTCGATCCCCGAAATCGTCGTACGCATGGAAAATTCATAGACAGTGTTTTTCTCCTGCCCACAAAACTCCAACAAACCAGGTGGAGTATAAAATGGTATGGGGTGGATGTTGCACTATTTGTGCTGAAGCATTCAAGTGAGGTGGCACTATAAATGATACCGTTGGAAGCACGGTCCCATTACAAACAGAACACGGCACATCTCCAGCACACAGGCAAGCATACACACATAGGGTGATATAAGAATTCCTCAAATTTGTCTTGACTAATGTATATGCTAAATGTATTTATTGTATATCTATGTACTGAAAATCGCTTTAGAGTGGCTTATTCTAGCTAGTTTGGGTGCTATATCAAATATTGTATATTGTTATTATTATTCAATATAAAATACAGATTGTAACGGAATAATAGTTGTTGGAAAGCTGAGTATGTAGAATAGATAAATAATTAATCATATAAAAGCCAAGAAATTTCAGGGTACACTTGAGACCTATCCGATGTCGATCCTTCACACTTCACGAATGTTGCTATCTGGGAATTTCATTGTTGCTACCTGGGAATTTCATTGTTGCTATCTGGGAATTTCAATGTAGCTAACTGGGAATTTCATTGTTGCTATCTGGGAATTTCAATGTTGCTATCTGTGAATTTCAATGTTGCTTTCTGGGAATTTCAATGTAGCTAACTGGGAATTTCATTGTTGCTATCTGGGAATTTCAATGTTGCCATCTGGGAATTTTATTGTTGCTATCTGGGAATTTCATTGGAACCTGAGTACTGGTACCCTAAAACGTCACAATGTGTTAATGTGTATTATTGGGATCGGTAAAAAACTTTAATATGGTGGCTTGTATGATAATAGGCAGACTTAACGTCCCGATAAAATAATAATGTCATAACGGACATATTGAAATTGAAACACGCTGGCACTTGTTGGGTAGTAAATGAACCGACTAGCATTATATGGAGGACTTACAGTAAACGTATCTCTCATAGGTGTACAGTAAACATATCCCTCATAGATGTACAGTAAATATATCCCTCATAGATGTACAGTAAATATATCCCCCATAGGTGTACAGTAAACATATCCCTCATAGGTGTACAGTAAATTTATCCCTCATATGTGTACAGTTAACATATCCCCCATAGGTGTACAGTAAACATATCTCTCATAGGTGTACAGTTAACATATCTCTCATAGGTGTACAGTCAACATATCCCACATAGGTGTACAGTAAACATATCCCGCATAGGTGTACAGTTAACATATCCTTCATAGGTGTACAGTTAACATTTCCCCATACGTGTACAGTTAACATATCCCCCATAGGTGTACAGTTAACATATACTCCATAGGTGTACAGTTGACATATCCTTCATAGGTGTACAGTTAACATATCCCCCATAGGTGTACAGTAAACAAATTTCTCATAGGTGTACAATAAACATATCCCTCATAGGTGTACAGTAAACATATCTCTCATAGGTGTACAGTAAACATATCTCTCATAGGTATACAGTAAACATATCCCTCATATGTGTACAATAAACATATCTCTCATAGGTGTACAGTTAACATATCCCCAATAGGTGTACAGTTAACATATCCCCCATAGGTGTACAGTAAACATATTTCTCATAGGTGTACAGTTAACATATCCTTCATAGGTGTACAGTTAACATTTCCCCCATACGTGTACAGTTAACATATCCCCCATAGGTGTACAGTAAACATATCCTTCATAGGTGTACAGTTAACATATCCTTCATAGGTGTACAGTTAACATATCCCCCATAGGTGTACAGTTAACATATTCCTCATAGGTGTACAGTAAATATATCCCACATAGGTGTACAGTTAACATATCCTTCATATGTGTACATTTAACATATCTCTCATAGGTGTACAGTAAACATATTCCTCATAGGTGTACAGTAAACATATCTCTCATAGGTGTACAGTAAACATATCCCTCATAGGTGTACAGTTAACATATCCTTCATAGGTGTACAGTTAACATATCCTTTATAGGTGTACAGTTAACATATCCCTCATATGTGTACAGTAAACATATCCCTCATAGATGTACAGTAAACATATCTCTCATAGGTTTACAGTAAATATATCCCTCATAGGTGTACAGTAAATATATCCCTCATAGGTGTACAGTAAACATATCCCTCGTAGGTGTACAGTAAACATATCTCTCATAGGTGTACCGTAAATATATCCCTCATAGGTGTACAGTAAACATATCCCTCATAGGTGTACAGTAAATATATCCCACATAGGTGTACAGTTAACATATCACCCATATCTGTACAGTTAACATATCCCTCATAGATGTACAGTAAACATATCCCTCATAGGTGTACAGTTAACATATCCCCCATATCTGTACAGTTAACATATCCCTCATAGATGTACAGTAAACATATCCCTCATATGTGTACAGTAAACATATCCCTCTTAGGTGTACAGTAAACATATCCCTCATAGGTGTACAGTAAACATATCCCTCATAGGTATACAGTAAACATATCCCCCATAGGTGTACAGTAAACATAACTCTCATAGGTGTACAGTTAACATATCCCCCATATGTGTACAGTTAACATATCCCCATATGTGTACAGTAAACATATCCCTCATAGATGTACAGTAAACATATCACTCATAGGTGTACAGTAAACATATCCCTCATAGGTGTACAGTAAACATATCCCTCATAGATGTACAGTTAACATATCCTTCATAGATGTACAGTTAACATATCTCTCATAGGTCTTGTATCAACATGAACATGAATATACCTACAGGAGGTAAGTTTGGTATCAATCAACATTTCTTCTCTTATGCTCTCAACCAGTTGTTTAACGGAGACGTTCGCAGGAAAGAACTGGGATCGGCAAAAACACGGCATCGCTAATAAAAAAAGAGAAAAAAATAGAAATTGAGAAACAAACAACGTCTCATAATTTGTTTGGACAAATTTGCTAAATGAGGAGTAGCATATCTTTACCATTTTGCGTTGATGATTCAACTGTCTGAGTTGTATCCGCGGTTGTTATCTCTGACGTCGTAGGATTAGGTGTAGTTGATATTATTATGGAAGAGTTCGTTGCCGTGGTTACTGTAGCCGTCGTAGAAGTGACGGAGACCGTTGTCGTTGTTGGACGGGTTGTCGTTTCGGTTGGAGTTGAGATGGTGCTTGTTGTCTTTTCTGTCGGAGTTGTGATGGTGCTTGTTGTCGATTCGGTTGGAGTTGAGATGGTGCTTGTTGTCGTTTCTGTCGTAGTTGTGATGGTGCTTGTTGTCGTTTCTGTTGGAGTTGAGATGGTGCTTGTTGTCTTTTCTGTCGGAGTTGTGATGGTGCTTGTTGTCGATTCGGTTGGAGTTGAGATGGTGCTTGTTGTCTTTTCTGTCGGAGTTGTGATGGTGCTTGTTGTCGTTTCTGTCGGAATTGTGATGGTGCTTGTAGTGGTTTCTGTCGGAGTTGTGATGGTGTTTGTTGTCATTTCTGTCGGAGTTGTTATGGAGTTTGTTGTCGTTTCGGTCGAAGTTTTGTTGGTGTTTGTTGTCGTTTCTGTCGGAGTTGTGGTGGTGCTTGTTGTCGTTTCGGTTGAAGTTGTGATGGTGCTTGTTGTCGTTTCAGTTGGAGTTGAGATGGTGCTTGTTGTCGTTTCTGCCGGAGTTGAGATGGTGCTTGTTGTCGTTTCTGCCGGAGTTGAGATGGTGCTTGTTGTCGTTTCTGTCGGAGTTGTTATGGAGTTTGTTGTCGTTTCGGTCGAAGTTTTGATGGTGTTCGTTGTTGTTTCTGTCGGAGTTGTCATGGTGTTTGTTGTCGTTTCTGTCGGAGTTGTCATGGTGTTTGTTGGACTGAAGGTCGAAGTTTTGATGGTGTTTGTAGGACTGAAGGTAGTTGTTATTGAAGCGTTTGAAGTAGTTGTTGTAGACTCTAGACAGTTTGTGTCCAGTATTGGTGGTCTGCTGGATGCTAATACATTGTTAAAGAAAAACAGGATTAATTACAGATGAACTATTGTTCATGTTAAATCGTTTATATATTAGAAAAATTTGGATCTCTATGCATATTGTTTAAGTTTTTGAATTTTTACATTTGGACAAATATATACTGAAAGGATTTTTGTAATTTATCGTAAAACTTTTTCTGACTTTCAACAAATTGGACTTGTTGATTGCAATCAACATAAACATTAAATTGTATGGGCGTGCTTCGTATAGTCTAAGTTATATTCAAATATTTTATCAAAATAACAACACCTTCCTTTTTAATAAGGTTTTGATGATTCAAATAAATTCGTAAGAATCCAGTTCCGCTGCATGCAAAACACTACGGAACATACCGAACTTATTTTCCTACATATAGACACCACCTCCCGTTATTTGTTTTTATTTACAGCTGTACCTAAGCAAAGGCATTACCGTTGACTAGGTATATGCTGTTTTACACTATAAAAACATGCTTTTGATTTCATTGTTCTTTTACCCTACTTGATAGAACATCCTAAATAATGTATCGAATCAATAATCCAGCCTAATTTGTTTCTAATGCATAGTTAAATGTTTTGACAGGGGTACTGGGACCCTGAAGCTTTTGGTATTGACTTTACCTCATAACCTTAACAAACTAATAAGTTATTATTTATATCCAGATAGTTACATGGTGGTGTTGATAACAAGGACAACTTCTGATCGACTGTTACAATGTCCAAAATACGTTTTCATATAGAATGAAATATTTCTTGATCAATTATTGGATAAATGAGCTTACTGAGTGTTTTTGAGCAAAATGCTATCCTCCTGTTTTTACAATCCCTAGTGTACCACCTAACGACAGGGTTGTTAAAAGTAACAACTGCACAATCGTTAACTTGGTTAGCCGTTGCTCTGTTTTCATCGCTGGGTTCGCCAGAAGCCCAGCCTGTATAATGGACGTTTTCGCCTTCAAAGGTCTTGTACATTCCCTCCGAACATATGTCATTTACCCCAAGCCACATATGGAATCCTTCACCATCCGTATTTTTTGCATAGCTTCAATGAAAATGGCAAACATATTAACAGTAAACTAGTTTGTTGGAATTGTGTTCTTTGCAAAGGTCACATGCTTATATAATGTCCAAAACCGTTGTCGCCATTCAAAGATTACATTAAATGATTGAAGCTCTATTTTTGAAGGCTTATGAACGTTATGCAATGTTAACTTGTTTTTCCAACAAAATAAGGTTGGCTATAAAGATCACACAGGAGAAAAGTGTAATAGGCTCAAATACAAAAATAAAATGCAAAAAAATGCAAAAAAAAACAAAAAAAAAAACAAAAAAAAACCCAGTCCTAAATATTGAGGAGTGGCAAATCATCGTTTGTGGTGCGCATATGCAGTTTGTTCCCCTCAAGTTCGCAGGTTCGTAACCCACAGACGGCGGCATGTAGTTGTGTCTTTGAGCAAGATAGTCTCCTATTGTTGCTCAACCCCACTTAAGCAGTATAATATGGCCAGGATTTGATATAACATTTATTTTGCTGTATAACTAAAGTGATAAAGGACATGTCTATACAATGGCTATGGTAATAATAAATATTTTTGAAATAGGGACCGTTCCATGTCCCCGAACCAATCAGAACATCTGTTTAAACTCGTGCAAACAAACACCCTCACACGTATGTACTAAAGAGAGGGGGATAAACTGATATTATCGATTATACGAAAGTGTCAAACTTGTACTCACATAAACAGTCCACTGTGAATTGTGAGTATTTTGCTGACCTCTTCATTTGGTATAACTGCCAGACCCCCGCCGTCTGTCATACAGTCTAAGTGGGCGTCCACCGCAAACTTTCGGACAGTTGTCGTCCAGAAACAGATCCCATGCTCCAATACGACCGTCGAATTCGGAGGGCAGTCTGTAGGACAATGTTAGTTTTCTAGTGTTTCATTATAATGCACCCAAGGCATGTAGATAAAATGCCAATTTTAAAACTACAGTATTTTTTGTTGAATTTATGCAGCCAAATCAATATGTCATTTTCGTTTCTATATGATATGGATGAAAAAGATAAAATTGAATAGATTATCTCTAAAATCTCAAAAGTGATAATTGCTGAAAATGGGCAGCCCCCAAAGAAAGATTGCTTACAAAAATATTCTCAATCTATCAATACCAACAATTACAAACAGAATGACAGTCACCTTTTGGTCCCTGTCATTTATTTTCCTGTCGTCACCTATTGTTCTCCGTCATTTGTGTCCTGTCGTCACCTATTGTTCTCCGTCGTATTTTTTCCTCTCGTCACTTTAGTCCAACGCCATTTATTGTCCTGTCGTCACCTATTGTTCTCTGTCATTTGTGTCCTGTCGTCACCTATTGTTCTCCGTCGTATCTTTTCCTCTCGTCACTTTAGTCCAACGTCATTTATTGTCCTGTCGTCACCTATTAAGCTATTGTCTCCCTTCATATATTGTCTTTTGTCACATTTTGTCTTCTTTCTCAAATTGTTTCCCATTAACTATCGTTTCCATTTACTTACATTTTTACGGCACTAAATGTTCATCTCTTATATCCAATCGCCCTTTAGTCCGTAGTAAATATGATAGTGATGTTATAAACTCATTCTCTCACGAACGACGGTCAAAAACTATTTGAATTTTCACCGCCCGGTGACATTATTGTGACAACACACAACGAGAGTATTATTAAGGTGTGAATCCTGTTTTGTTGAGGTTTATGGGGTATAAACCTCGATGGATCTTGAGACAAATTATATTGAATTCGTCTCAACAGGACTCTATCCTTAATTTTACATTCAGTGCGATATCGATATCATTTGGGTAACTTTTAAGATATCGGCTTTGTAAAAGTCTTACACCACAGAAGGTCATTGCTCACTGTAAGATGTCGTCCTGGTTATATGAATATATGAATATAAAAAAAACAATTAAGATGTAACTTAGCTTTCTTTAATTAAATTACAGACTTCTGACAAAAACAAATCTATTGATAGAACTTCCCGCGCTCCGCAGAATAACAGAGTTACCAGGTTGATAATATGCTGATGTATTCATACGCCAACTGAAGAGTTAATTGAAAAATAACCTTTAACATTTTAGTAGGTATGTTGAGTCCAAGTTCAGTAGAAACGTAAATATTACCTGTTTAAACCATTGATTCGATTAGGTTTACTTTGTACTCACCTAAAGGCTTATAACAGACTCCATAGTTAGTGTTAGCAGTACAGCTCATATCCTGCCACGTATAAACATATACTCCTACTGCTATACCGACACACCCACTGAACCCCGGGATCCCCGACCAGTGCGTGTAGTTATGCTTGACGCCCTCAAATGTAGACCTGGTCGATATGTTGTAGTTTATCCAGATTGAGTTCAGTCCTTTGATTCTTAAAATAGAATTTATAAAGGCATATTGGTTAAAAAGGCAAAAGATATGTTAATATGAAAGTATCAAATGGAATAACCTTTAAGATAGCAAGGCAACAAAAGAAAAGTCGATCTTTGATGTCAATAAATAAAGATGAAAAACCAAAATAAAAGAAAAACATCAAAAACACCAATCCAAAAGATTTTTTTTATATATAAATAATTAATCGCAAAAATCCAGATCGCAGCTTGAAATATTTTGAGGAGAAAACCTCGACTAAGTAGTTTCATTGCAAAAGGACAAATTTATCAAAATAAATAACAATGAAGGTCCTGATACTTAGATACGAACATAAAGAATAGAGAATAATCCGTACAGGACAGACATCCCCTCGCCTGTGTCTTCTACATCGGTATTATTAGAAGTACCAAAAATGGGCCTGGAGTATTCTAATCAATGTATTTCGTAAGATGCCACATGTGATGCCCCCATGTTGTTCTTTGACTTCTATTATAAGGACATTGCAGTGACCAAAATTAACCTATTGCCCCTATTGACACTCTTGAGATCTATGCATCTTTTTTGTAACTTGCCTACTTTTTTTCTTGGGTGTGTCACTGGAAACCCGTCCTCACATGACCCTAAGCAACCAACTGTGGCAAATATGTTTCTAATGAAGAACGGATAGAAACGTTTAAATAACGTTTGAAAGTAGATTTATATCGACGCGTCATTTCCACGTTGTATTTGTGAAATCTAGGATACCAGTCAATTCAGCGTAACACAAAATCGACAGGATTGTGTCCGCTTAAATGTTTCAGCGGGACTTAAACGGAAGCTTAATATTTTTCAGAAATCAAGTTTCGGATAAGTTCCTCATGAAATCGTCAATTTCTTGATTAATCTCCGCATAGAATAATGAGAGGGTGGATAAGAAATAAAAACCGTTTTCTTTTGGTTCCAAAATATTCATATAGTAGGTTAAACTATACACCTATAATTAGCGATTCCCATATAATGCTAAAATTCCCCCTATTCTTTTGAAAGTATCATAAAAAACCTAGTCAGCAATGCATAATTTCTAGTATTGAGTTTATTGTATAAGATCAGCTTCAAAGATTGAACATACATTTTATCACTCTGTAATGTAACCGTAGTGTTGTAAAAGTGTATAAGTAAAAACAAACTCACTCTAATTCCCTAGAAAGTGTAGATTCTAGGAAAGATTGAACAGTTGAATCCTCCACAGTAAAGATAAGTCCCCCACTCTGATTACACAGGAGTCGCATTGTATCTGCGTTAACGTCTGCAGTAACAAACCAGTAACACCAATTCCTTACTCCGTCCTGCATCAATCCTGAATCAGGTGGACAATACGTACACTGAACACCACCTGCAATAAGGTAGTATAAACAAGAAGCGATAGGAGCATTAGGGCTGTCATGATATATCATTGGAAAACCGGTATATCACAATATACAGGCATATCGTATCGCAATAAAGACATAAAATATCAACGTATCGCAGTGTTTTTCAAAAGCTTATTTGTATCTTTTTCATTTCAAAATATTTTATTAAATCAATTGATTCAATGGGAATTGGGCAACAGGCTATGCCTATACAAGCCCTCTCCCTTGGGTTACATACATTTCAAATAATAACAGAATTATGATTTAGACATTAACATATTAGCACTGGCTTTGAACATTAAATAGTATTTTTTAATAAATATTCATAGCTACTAAAAGTACACACTAATATTTATGATATGTACACACACATATATATAAACATATACACACATATGTATGATCCAGGTCAACATGCATATGCTTACGATGAAAGTAAAATATCAACATTTAATAAATATACAAGAAACAGCATTTTAATTACTTTATAGCAGAACAAATAGCCAATATTTTCAGTATAAGTTAAATTCTAATATTATATTAACCAGTCCCCAAACACCACTCCCACTCCGGATATCATTTATAACTGGGCAGCACTAAAATGTCCATAGCACAACCACTGTGTTCTTACCCAGTCATTGAAGATCCAAAGCAGGAGCCATGCTGAGGGAATAGGTACTCATAAACATATATATAAAGACATGTAAAAACTGGATCAAATTATCATGACATCTAGCACTCGTGCAAGATCCTATATGGTTTTTTTTTGTTTGTTTTTTATTTTGAGAGCCTATTAGTGTGCTAATGCCTAATGGTCTCTATCTATTTCTGAACTAAGCAAACTTAAAAACTACTGAGGTAAAACAATACAGTAGTTTTTGTTTGCTTATTTTTTCTTACATAGTAACCAGTATATATAAAATATATTTCAAAATGGAAAGCCATGTGTGTATACTGCATTTGTAAATAATCAAAATTTATAAATTTTATAACATATATTAATATAAAAAAACTGGAACCTCCATTCAATACAGTAAATGTTAAATATTATTAGCTGAATAATTTGTAACACCAACTAGTCCTTCATCACCACTCCTACTCCAGATAACAATTATTGTACATGTATGTATCCGCTAGGTGTTTTAACTTTGTCCAGTGCTACACGTTCTAACAGATATATGCCAATAACCATACAAGGGGTCTTAGTAGTGGTGGGCATTTGTTAAGGCTTCATATTTAATGGTTGGTTTAACAGACAAATTCTGTCTGTCTGTCTTTCTGTCTATCGTTATAAATTCTCTATGTATTGCACTATGTCATGATACACTCCGAGTGTATTGTCACGCCCCGAATGAATATGTACTCCTGAAAGTTCGACTATCGATAAGCAGTTTAAACTTCAGCTGATGTTTGCGCCCCGTGCCAAATAGAATTAGATTCATTAAATCCAAACAAAAATGTCACATTATGAATTCAAGTACCAACGAATTCGTCATTTTTTTTCCAAGACAACTTTGGTGGAAATGAAACGAAATGACTAAGTATCACCTTGAAAACGTTCCCTCGTGGTAGATAAATGTTGTAGTCGGTAAATTGTTTTGACTTATTTAGCCTAGCTTATTAACATTTATTTGATATGTCTTTACATAATTTTCTGTATGGATGTCTTCTAACAATACCCGATTACACATGATTCATATGCAATGGGTACGAATTTCATATCACTTTTATCTACGACTTTATATGAGGTATGCTTATAAGAGGATTTCAAATTAGGTAAAACCCGAGGAATGCCGACGGTTTTGCATACATTTGAAAATTTGGTGGATAGAATTCCCTATCTTTAACCTCTGGGCATGAAAGAGTATTTCTCTCTTATTCCAATCTCTAGATAAACCCCAGAAACCACAAAAACGCGTCCCAATTTTTGCATCGGGATGTCGGAATGGTTGCCATTTCATAGCGTCACGTCATTGTTGTTCCATTGTGACGTCATGCACGGGAAATGGGGTATAAGATTATAAGACTCTTTCATCCACAGGGGTGTAGGATAGGGAAATTCCACCCGAGGGGTTTTCAAATTTGGTTAAACCCGAGGCTTTGGCGAAGGTTTTGCCATTTTTGAAAATCCCGGGGGTGGAATTTCCGTATTCTACACCCTTTGGTATGAAAGAGTATTTTTTTCTCATTCCAACCACCAGAAGAAACGTATTACACCTCTTCCCTACCCTGGTTAGCTTTGTCATATATGCACAAGAATGAGAGAAATAACTAATATATATCTATATATTTCGTGACTCCCTTGGTACCCGGCTACTGTTTGCTCTAATACTACCATAGGGCTCTGTGTTACATAACGTAATATTTTCGCTATGTCGATATGTCGTATAAGTATACCGGTATATCGATTTGATTGATTTGCTATGAGATGATTTCTCGATTAATCGTAGATGAATATTTACACTCAATTTGGTTTTTCATTTAAACATTTGCCGATTTCATTTAATGATTGAAATATATGGCTTGAGTTGTTAAAGAAGAAAACATGTTGATAAATAAAATTACCGAAATAAATTAAAACTGGTGAAATAATAAACAGGCAAAAAATCCACTGTGGATCGGTAACAATTGTTGAGGGCCTCTTGTTTACCTGAAAGTCCTTTAATAATTTAGCCGACTTTTGGTAAATCGCCAATTGATTATTGATGATTGAAATGTGATTAACGGAATTACGTATGATATTTATAAAGTACAAAATTAAAATCATAGGCCTTAATTTGATTATATATATATATTGTTTACACAGTTTACATGAGAGGAGACAGCTCATACTGAAACCACAACAAATAAGTTGGCCGAGAATATTCAAATAATCGAGATAAGGGAAATATGATGTCTAATATCCTAAAACGTTTTTAGTAAAAATTATAAATGTCTCAGTGTCATCGCAGCTAATAATGATAAACAAAATTCAACTTACCTATAATGAAAAACAAAACTGATAATATTTGTAAAGCGTTTAAGTCCATTTTTGAACCGTATCCCTCGTGTTGGAGACTTGGACTATTTTAATAAAATGTAGGAATCTTTACTTATGTCAAAACTTAGAAACTATAACATATGTTAACAAAAGCATTTTAATAATGATTTTATTGATGTCAACACACAGTCGCTAGCCCAACACTCGGTAATTAGTCATTAGTAGCCATTCAAATAAGGTTCTCTACCATTCGATGACCTGAACAGTATAATCCATACTGATATTGAAAAGAATCGATCATCTTACTTAAGACACAGGTTTACATAATTATTTCTATGTATTGATCAAAAACATATTCATTAGTATAAAAACCGATTGTATTGAATTACCCTACCCACTGTGGTTTACATGATAATTGCTGAGGCTTTTTTTATAGTATTGACGTCTTTTTGTTTTCATTGAATCAATATAACAACTGAAAATTGACAAATTTATAACAATTGATTTATAAATAAAGATGTCCCATCGTTAGCTTTTAGAAATGGAATTCGGAAACACATATATACCATTGTTTTACAATTATAAAATTGACATGCCGTGGGTTTGATTAAAGTATCAACTATATTTGTGGTTAGAATCGTAGCTACCACATTTGATCTTATTTTCGAGTTTTAAGTATTTATTTTTTAGAGTTATGAAAGGAAGTGAAGTAAGTAGGTGTAAGCTTGATACGTTTGAGATAACTACTTTTGTAGATATATCAGGCTACTATGTGAATCGATTTTTGTACTTAACCGTATTTATTCTCCAAATATTACGTGCGTTGTTTTTGAATCGATGGTTTTAAGAAACTTAAATACAGTTGACTTGAGTGGCTCTTACTATTTGGATATGGTTTAACAAAGATAATTTATGAAGTTTAAATGTGGTATTTATACTTATTTGCAGGCGATGTTTGTTGACACACGTATTAATGGACAAAGAAAGTTCAGTATTATTTTTAAAAACAAGTCTAATGGAATAAGAGTATACTGTTTTTTTTCCGGGTAGATAGGCCATGTTCGCAAATATAATACTTTAAAGATTCCGTTTCGGTTATAGTTGATCAAATATAAAAGTGTATTTGAAGTAACGAATGTTCAAAATTCCTCCCTTTATCCATTTAAAATCTGATTGAAGTGTGTCTAGTGCCATTTTACTGAAAAAACTTCAGCTCTGAATATCAATTACTGGTTGGAAAATTATAACTGTTATCGGACGGGATCTCTGTTAAGGCGGTTAGATTGTTGTTTTGAGAAAGGCGCCGTCGGTACTGATCGATCTGAAGGAAAATGTCCATCGTCCATAAAAGGAGATTTACACCTACGGAATGTGGTACTTTTATCGCACTCTTTAATGTTATTTCCCTTTCAAAACTGCATTCCGAAAACAGAGGTAATAAAACCAATGAAAAAGAAAATGGCGAACGCGTGTAAGGTAAGATGTGTTACATCCTTGTTAAATCATCATCTTGAACAGACTTTAATTATAAGATTCGGTGTAAAGAATTCAGTTAATTTATCGTCTTTTCTCTAACGATCGATAACAACTGGTTATGTTCAGATCAAGTTCTGACCACCTCTAACCTGGTTGGCTAGGTCCTTTTCGTGAAATAGCCCGAAATCGCCGAAGAATAACCCTGCGCACTCTGAAAATGAAGAGAGTGTTTAATTAGGTTGCGGGGCGATTTGATTCGAATTAGCACATGGCTAATGGAGTATTTACTCTCTGGATAAACTCGACAAAAACGGAAATGTACTTGTAGTCAATTTAACGAATTGCTGTAATAAAGGGTGAATGAAAAAGGGTATGTTTATATAAATAACAAGGTTTGTTCAAATTGCTGTAATTTCATGTTTCT